ACCGACGCCGATTGGGTCGGATGTCCAGACACACACAGATCTACATCGGGCTATTGTGTGTTTTTGGGTGATAATCTAATCTCATGGTCAGCTAAACGTCAAACGACCGTGTCTCGTTCTAGTGCAGAGGCGGAGTATAGAGGCATCGCGAACGTGGTTGCAGAAATTTGTTGGCTCAGAAACCTCCTTCTCGAACTTGGTCACCATCCACTACGCACATCTCTTGTTTATTGTGACAACGTCAGCACCATCTACATGTCAGAAAACCCAATTCAGCATCAGCGGACCAAACACATTGAAATCGACATTCACTTCGTGCGTGAAAAGGTTCAACGTGGCCAAATCCGGGTCTTACATGTTGCATCACGTTACCAAATTGCCGACATCTTCACCAAAGGTCTCCCACGAGCTCTATTTTTGGATTTTAGATCCGGTCTAAGCATCCGTCATCCTCCTCCTTAGACTGAGGGGGTATATTAGACTAGCAACTCAATTGGGTAATCTATGTGGTACCAAAGTGTAAATATTGTATCTATATATATCTGCCAATGTAATTCAAGGAAGACGATTTTGGCCCTATTCCATTACTTAATATTTGTATTTAGATGGTTAAATTTCGAATATTTGTTATTTTATAAAATGAGAACCTGAAGTGCTGCAACAAGTAGACCAACAACAAACATTTCAGAAGTTCTTCCACCAACCCAATCAAACATGGGAAATCTATTCAACCACCCCTCGATTCTTGCTGTGTCGTCTAGTAGTGAACCCTCTTTTGTAATGGCAGCACCCTAAAAATAATATATATATATATATATATATATATATATATATATATATATATATATATATATATATATATATATATATATATATATATATATAGACAAACAAACTTAATCTTAATTCTTTAATTATGTCCTAGATACAAGAACACTAATTATTGCACCAGTGATAGTGACTATATGATTAGTATAAGAATTTTTATATGAAATTATTTATATTATATGTAGATACAACATACAATTTTAACTCTAGGTTGTACAATATTTAGTTGTAATTAACGAATTTATTATTTACAAATAAATTAATTTTAATAATAAACAACTAGAATAAGAAATACATTTGCTTCATGCAAAAAGAACGATTTTAAGTGATTTTTCCTTTAAACAATTTGCCCCCATTTGTTTTTCTTCCATTTTCTTTAAGTCGTTTTTCTCAAATGTCTTTGAATAACATTTATCAAGCATGCTCCTATAAGCAAGAAAATATAATAAAAGCAGAAAGAAGAAGATCAAAACCCATTTTGCAAAATTTAACCCAACTTCACAAAATGTTGTTTGTACTTCCAAAAACCAATTATGGTTTCTGGAGTGCCTCTACTCTGACTCAAAATTCAGAATCAACATTAAGAAATTTGATGCTATTAAACCAAAAAGAAGAAATATATTTATATAAAAAATCTATTCAGACCTTTGAAACCACTATTACAAGTGTAGATGCTAATTATGGTCTAAGTTGGGCAATTTGATAGTCAACTAATGCGGAAACTGTATTGTCTATGAACCTTATCTGAAAATCAGTCAACATTCAAAATGTAATGATCTTAAAATGAACAAATTCATGTGTTTTTCTAGAAGTTTAGAATAGAAGAATTAAAATCAAGAACTTCAGGTAGTTTGTTTGCAAACACCTACAGGCATCCATGAATAATTGGTGAAAACAAGATATATTTCTTTTTCTTGTACTAAAATAAATAGGATTAGTATTCATTATTTTGGATAGTTCGAGATTTTCGGTGAGACAGTGGTCGGAAACTTTCTGTCCAGTTCAGCATGACTTGTGAGGTGAGTTTTTCCTCACTATACTAATACGGTCGAAGGCACCAATGTCGACCCTTTTTGGATTGTCTCTTGGTTATAAGATGATGTTATGTTTAGTGATCTATTAGATCGGTATCCTAGTATATAAAATGATACTATGTTTAGTGATCTGTTAGATCAGTATCCTGGTATATAAGATGATGATAATGATTAGTGATTTGTAGATTTGTATGATTGTCTGTGCATGCTAGCTAACGTATGATATTTATATGTTGATTGTGTGATTGTGGGTGGGTTGAGGCGGTCTTGCTTTGTGCTCTAGGCCAACAGACCCAGGGCGACTCGGATGTACTGAAGGCCCATTGGGGCGTACCAGTCAGGCTGAAGGCCCGAAGAACGGTCCAGACAGGCTGAAAGGCCGGTAGGGCGGACCAGACATGCTGAAGGTTCTGAGAGTGGGCCAAATAGACTGAAGGCCCGGCGAGGGCGATCCAGTCATACTGAAGACTCTATATGCATGTTGTTTGTTATGATATTGTGCTGTTTGTATGACATTGGTATTTTGGGGGAACTCGGTAAGCTTTGGGCTTACAGTTTTAGATTTTGTTTCAGGTACTTCGGATGATCGTGTGAAGACGAAGACTTGATTGTACGCCTCCTCACGTTTTACGATTTTGACTTCTGAGATTCTCTTATATGAAACTATTTTGAAAGCATTTTGTAATAAGTAATGGTTTTTGGATGCTTGAAAAAGTTTTAATTTTTTATGAATTTTATGGATGTTACATGAATTTTTTTTTCCACATGTCATTTTATGAGTTTTTCTATTTTATTAAATTATACATAATATTTTAATGTAATAATTGCAATAAATATAGTAATAAATGGATATCAATTTCATTCATGAACTTACCTTTTAATTTCAAAATTCATAAAATTAAAGCTCAGTAGTTTCCTTTATTTATTTAAATTGTTTGTTTAAATTTAAAAGATAAAAACATTTCATTATAATAATTTATTATTTTTCTTTTTATCTTATAAATTCAAAGCTTATATATATTTTGACATTTATATTTAGTTTTTTTTTTTAAATTAACTCATACAATACATGAGTTTCACAACTACTGGCGAATGAATTAAACACGATGGGGGAAAGAAAATTGTATAAATTTTAGGGTTAAAAAGGTGACGTGGCTTTAGTTTGTGTAATTTGTGACACAGAATGCAGTTACAGGATAGGAAACCACTTATACATGGTTAAAACCAATAAACCATAGTAGATAGTAAAATAAAACCACACAAGTAGTTTGAAGATTAATTCGATACAAATAAATAGCTAATAACTAAAAGAAAATAAAGATTCTCATTTTAAGATATTTTTCCTTAATTATATATCCAAAAACCACCGATACACATCAAGTTTGTCGGTGTGCCCTCCAAGCTTTAAATAAGGATATCAAAAAGTCTCATATTACCCGTTCTTGTGAAGCCCCAATCCCGTATGAGAGTATTTGTTTAAAAAAAATAGAGACGTGGACGGAAGCATCTTTAACCCATGTTTTCACTATGGGGGCAGGGGTCGGGGTGGACAATCTCATCTTGAAACCCCTATGGGGTCCCCAAAGATATATTATATATATTTATATAAATATAATAAATAATAACATGATTTTGAGTTATCCAAATTCAGTAAAAATCATGTTTTTAAGTTTCTAGCATAATGTTTCGAAATATAATAACATTTTTATTTTTAACATAGAAAATTTTGTTACAAATAACTATTGCTTATAAAAAATAGTTTCTTTTAGTTCAAAAAATAACTTCTTTTAGCGTAAAAAAAATTTAAAAAAAAAAAAAAAAAAGATAACCCAAAATCAATCAGAGGTGGGAAACAAGAACGGGGGTAATCCAGGAATTTGGAGGCAGGAGCGGGAGTGGGAAGACTAAAGATTTTGGGGATGAGCACAGGAGAGTTCCGGGGCGAAAACGAGGGATACAATATTGGTCTCACTTGTCCCCGGAGACAAACCTACCTCTAAAAATAGATAGGTAATCACAATAATGGGAATTTGCTATTTTGGTTGGTCTTATAAGTAAAAATTAAAACTGATGTCAAAGTTTGGTAATTTATTTCATTTCTCTCTTTGTGATTTTGTATATCTTTAACTTGTAACCATTATAATCGTATTAAGATATGCGAGTTTGATGACAAATATGGAAATATTGTTTCTTTATATTTTTTTTATCATATCGTTTTGACAGTTTATTCGACCATAATTATAAAACTATCATTTGATTGTATATTAATTTAAGTTATCATTTAAAAAAAATAGGTTTTTATATGTGTTTAACAATGAAAATAGTTTTAAAAATACAAATATATTAAATAATATAAAAGTATGTTTGAAACATCACAACTAACTTATAAACCAACTTATTTTTCAAGTTGTCATATTTGACAAACTCAAAAAAAAAAAAAAAAAAAAAAAATAGTTTAGAAGTTAACTTAAAACCTTTTTTTTTTTTTTTGTAAACTTATTCAGATTAACATGTCAACGAATATTTTTAAAATTCTTCCAAATATACCATTATTAATTATAAAGAAACCTAATCTTCTACATAAAATTTTGAGAAATTAAATGCCCTCCTACTCATCTTGCTACCCATGTAAAATTATGACAAGTATCTTAAAATATTATTTTTTTTATTAAAATGTGATACTTGTCATCATTTTATACGAGTAAGAAGATAAATAAGAATAAAAAATAAGATAATATTTAATTTTACTAAAATTATATGTCAATTTACATATTTTAGCTAGATTACTAGCTATTCCGATTAACATGTCAATGAACATTTTTACATTTTTTTTCTTGCTGGTAAGAGGTTTCTTATATAATTTTGCAAGCATAACATATATGTTTAGAAACAAAATAAGAAATATAATGGTTCTAAGTATTAACAATTTTATACTTTTTCTGACATTTAATTTAAAATGGTTTCCAAAAATTTCACATATTAAAACCGAATCATAAATAGTACACGAGGTGAAGAGCGCGTGCAAGCCGCGTGACATTTTTATGTACAATTTCGTCATTTCTCTTTATGTATCAAATCTTAATACCCTAACTCTTCGTCATATAAAAGATTATAACTTGCCTCCTTTCTCATCGCCGGCGCTCAAAGAGTTTTTCCCCTAAAGTTGAAGTTGTTTCGACTTTGTGCCCTTAAGATCTTGAAATCTAAACAACTTTGTGCGCTCAAGATCTTGAAATCCAAGATCTCAAATTGTGTTTGAAAACCAACATAATGACAAATCGGAAGCCCCGCAAACCCCTTCGAGTCCATCGATACGAAGGATCTAGGTAAATATGTTACTCGATTCTAGATATATCATTCTTGTACTAGATTTTTAACATCTTGTATTCACTTCAAGTCAAAACATTCAAAAATAAATAAAGTATTGATAAACTTGTATTTGATTATTATTATTCTTGTATATATCGGATCAATTCAGATCTGAAATTTCAATGCATCTGATCTAAGATTTTATTGAAGTGATATGTAGAAACGCTTTAGATCTAGAATATTAATGCATAAAATCTACGGTTTCACAAAACCACACAAGATTTTTTTTCATATGATTTGATATTAATTTCTTATTTTTACATGTTCAATTTAGACTATTTGTGCTCAAAGTAATCATGGTAATTTTAAGGATTATTATCAAATAATCAATCGAGTAAAGTTAAATTACATAATTTTATAAATATTTTACGGCTCTTCTTATAGGGTACAATGGTCAATTACGAATAATAATAAGACTAGAGAATAAAAATCTTCGGGCATTAATAAATTTTGTACATATAAATTGCCATCGCTTTATACAAATGGGTCACACTAGCGCAAGTTAGCACATCCAACTCTTCATAGTTCATACGGCAATATATAAAACCCAAGAGAAATCCATATTTCTCAACTCAACGTAACTCAGTCACTCACCGGCGTCTCACGATTGATTATCAATCAACATTTGCTTAACCAAGTTTACTCGATTTAGTCACTAGCGATTTCCCAGCTATATCGTCGCTAGTTGAAGGTAATTTGTTCAAGTTTCGCCTTCTTCTCGTTAGTAATTTCTGAAAATTTCGTCAGTTGTATGTTTGTTTCTTGTTTTTGATCCGAAATCTAGGGCTTAGATTGTTACATTTCGAAGAATCGTAAAATAATATTATTAAAATGTATATTTGTTTTTAATGTTCTGTTTTCTGCTCTTCCCTTTCAGTTCTGGTTCGAAAAATGTAGCAATGAAGTCTGCAAGGGAGGATGAAACATGCAAGAAGAAACCAGTGAGTAACGAGTACAACTTTTAAAGTTTATTTTTCTTAACATGAATGGATATTTTCATACGATCTATGACGTACAGTTTTTAATGAATTGCTCATATCTCTTTTTTTTTTACGCTAATACCCCTGGCTTAAATAGTCATTTCTGGTCCTTTAGAAGGTTACTTTGTAGGAAATTTATCTAAATTTTATATTAATACAATGCTCATGTGGAATGCTTTGATTTGCAGGCTATTGATTGGTTTTCAGCTGTTGATCAGTTTCATAAACTAAGCTGTTCGGATCTAAGCCAGCTAATCAGGGATTCTGGAAATGGCCCCATTCGATATGCTAAACAGAATGGATCATTGTTTGAGGTCGCTACATTTTACAATTCACATTCACTGAATCATGTATTTATTAATCGAAATTTTCACCTCAGTTATTAGTTATCGCATGCTGATTGTGATTAACCTTGAGACGTTTCAGATTTATATAGAAAGTCTAGCAAGATATCTTCCTTTGCACCTTATATCAAAGCTTTTATTATTTAAACGAGATGAACAGCATCTGAAATACTTATTATCCGGGGTACGATTATTGCATGGTTTGCATGATATTGCTTATTGCCATTCAAAACTTAGGCAGGTTGGTGAATTTCTTATTTCTAAGCTTTTTCAAGCTTTCTTTGTCTTGTACATTCCAGTAGTAACTGATTTTTCCTGCTGCAGCTTCTGTTTGAAGATTCGAGTTCATCAGCATGTGCTGTTGATTTGATATTTTCCATCATTGTTTTTCTTAGCAACTTTAAGCAGGTTAACTCTGCATGCCCTCATCATATTTTATTTTGGCACAACATTTTGTTTTGGCACTGAAATTTTTAACTTTGGTGATCCAGAAACTTAATCCTCCAAGCAATAATGAGGTTCTTTATCACTCGACATTATTGGCTAGCAGTTTGTATCTCTTTAAAGCATGTATATCTTCACAGTGGCATGACATTACCAGTGTTCTACTTGCACACCCTAAGGTAACATTTTTTTTATGAGTCAATGATTTATGATTCGTTAATTATATTTTCGGTTTTTAATTATCTATTGAAATTAATTAATTGTCAGGTTGATGTATTTACGGGTGTAGCCTTCCCCTCTGTCCGTGTGGTTATTAATTTTCTTCAAGCGAAGCTTTCAGCTCAACATACTGACACTTACAATGCTGATGAAGTCTACAGTTTCTCCCTGCATTGTGAGGCTTCTCTACAGTTTCTTCACTCACTTTGCCAGCAAAAACTGTTTCATGAATGTGTTTTTAAGAATAAGGTTTTACTCTTTAAATCCTTATCTGTAATTGATTGTATCTATCTTCCACTTACTTATAACATGCCAATACTCATTTCCAGGATCTTTGCAAAGAAGGTGGTGTTCTTTGGTTGGTTCAAGACATTATGAAACTTCCTCAATGCAAAGACCCTCATCTTATGGTTGTGGTTTCTAGGCTAAAATCAAAGATTTTATCAATTGTAAGTTCTGATTGTAGACCATGATCTTATGTTTTACTTTTTTAAAGGAATTTTAATTGCTATGAATCCTCTTTCTTCAGATGCTGCAGCTTTGTGAAGTGGAAAGAATCTCTTTCTTGGATTTGGCTGCAAACACCACTGAAGGCTTGGATTTAGCTAAGTCTACTATATCTGAGGTGTTAAAATCAGGCTTATTTAAGACATTATCATAATAATAGCCAAATTAGTGGCCATGTTGCTTACATTTGCATAATGTGTAGGTCCTGGAATTGCTAAATATCATGTTTTGTGGAGGTGTCAATGGTGTTTCTGCTTACAATCCAAGGGGGATTTTGCAATTAAATGCAATGCGAGTAGTTGAATTAGTCTCTGATGATTCTAATTTCCAATCTTACATAATCTCAAATTTTGTAAGCTTTAATCTACTTTATTATTATTATGTACATTTACTTTTCTGTGATTCATTGAATTTGCAATTGTTGTTGTATCACAATTCACATGTCAATGCAGACAGAGGTTTTGACAAGAGTGTTTTTGGTACCACATGAAGAATTCTTGTCTAGTTGGTGTTCCTCTGATTCTAGGGCTGCTGAAGGGGATATTACTCTGAATTATGATTCCTATTCAGCATCTGGACAGGTTTTGGGTGTGATGTCTAGGCATACATCACATGCTTCAAAACCTGTTTTCATTACCAACTCCCGTGCTTCTCAGACCTCCTATCCCTTTGCACATCAAAAAACATCTTTACTGGTCAAAATTGTAACAAATCTCATCTGTTATGCTCCACATATCTGTAAAGGTAAAAAAAAAAAAAAAAAAAGGCAGTTTAGCTTTACATATATATATGCATCTGTCACTTGCTTTGTCTAATTATATTTATTGTTTTGATAATTGATCCACAGAGGAGGAGAATGATCTCTTCCTTAACAAGTTTTTTCAGTGCTTGCAAAAGAAACGTTCCAACTTACCAGATGGAGTTGCACATGGTGGTGCTAAAAGAGCAGCTGCAGCTACCAGAAACCTGAGTATATATCAATTTCAACAATTCCTTTAGCTTTGGTTGATAAGAAACACATGCTTTTGTTTTGCTTATGTAACATATTCATTATTTCTATGTTGCAGGTTCCTTATTGATTCATGCTGAATCTTCGACTATTTCTAGATACCTTAATAAAGATGATGTTCAACTCTTTACGTAATTGCTTTAATTTAAACTACTGAAGTCAACCTTTGACTCCAGACTCACAATTTGTTTTCAATTAGAACCTCGAAGGGTATGTCTGTATGTTAAAACCCGATTGATTTTTTTTTGGTCTTCTGCTCATGTAGGGTGTTTGTTATGCGATTGGAGAAACTATGTAAAGAATCCGATATCCACCAAGTCAAGGTACGAGGGTTGACTCTCATCAACACAAATTAAATATACACTCGTTATTTTATTTATTTATTAAGACAATAAGACGTACATGATTGTGATTGTAGGAGGTTCATAATAGACCTATACCTCAACGATCAACTCCAGATGGGTGCAAGCGAAAAGTAGGTAGTGTTGCTCCGAGGGGTGTTGATGAGACGAACATTGAAACAATCGGATCATATTTATCCAATATGCAGTTAAAGAGTGCTTCTGATGGAATGAAGAATGTTGAAGAAGTTCCAGAAGAGGAAAGTTTGCAGCTAAAGAAAAGGAAGCGCAACATAATGAATGATGTGCAAATATCCATGATTGAGAATGCTTTACGTGATGAGCCTAATATGCAGCGGAGAGCTGCCTCTGTACAACTTTGGGCTGATAAATTGAGTCTTCATGTATGTAAGATTTGCATACTGTCGATTCATTTTAATTTATTTCCTCTAAAGCTGTATAATTGTCTTTTACAGGGTTCAGAAATCGCTTCTTCCCAGCTAAAAAATTGGTAAGAAAGCCGTGGTCCTTTTGCTTACAAAACGTGAAAAACCAGATTTAATGTGTAAACTCAAAACAAGTGGAGGGGCAATTTGAAACCAAAGCCTTGGACTCCTTTTATAGAATGTTGTTTAGTTGTTAAATTTGGTTTTTGCTTTCAGGTTAAATAATCGGAAAGCCAAACTAGCACGTGCAGCTGCTAAGAATACCCCTGGAGGTGGTGGGTGGGTGACAGATGATGAGCCATCTTCATATGGAGCAGCTGACCCGACCCAGCAGAAAGATGTGACGGGAAGTGTGTTGAGGAGGTGTGTTAGGCTACAGAATGGACAACATGTTGTTCTGGTTGATGGGAAAGGAGAAGAGATTGGGAAGGGAATCATACATCTTGCAAAAGGGATATGGTTTGATACAAAGTTGCAGGAATCCGGGCTGTGTGTTGTGGATGTTACATATCTCAAAGTCGATGAGAACACTCTTCTCCCAAACCCCTGTGATGCTACTGGCACCTCATTTGCTGAGGCCCAAATGACATTTGGAAGAAAAAGGATACTCTGGGACTCCACCAAACTTCTCTTCATCCATCCGCTTCACAATTAAACTCTCTCTCTCTCTCTTAGTTCAGTTTGAGTTGGCATCTCACAAACCAAACATGCATTATTGTGTGCTTACATACCTTTACCAAATCGCATTGCTTGCTTTTGTGAAGACTAATTATCAAAGTATGAAACTTAAACATGCATATCATATTCATATATATATATATATCTTTCTTCAATGGTTTTAGGAAAATGTTGGAAATTTGAGTATGTTTATGTTTGAGGTTTAAAATCCCATACTGACTCTCACAAAATTTCATGCATAGCAATAACAGACCGGTTCATCTGCATCAAGTTTCATTTTTATCTATTACCTCTGTGTCATATGTTCAGTCTATACCCCTTTTGACATATTTAATACATATTATAATATATTTTTTAATAAATTTTACCGTTCAAAGAGTTAATTGACGTGTTGAAAACCAATGTTCAACATGTTGTTTTTAATATAAATTTTAATTTTAATTTTATAAAAAGCCAAGAATGTTTTGTCATTTTCTTTAACTATATTAAAAATACTACTTTTTAAAAAAAAAAACCTTTTGTCTTAGAATTTTAATAACTTGTAGGTCAAATATATAAATAAGTATGTTGGATAAATTTGAGACTTCTTATAAATAGTAAACCCACTTTTTCTTGGTGAGAAAGTTTTATAAACATGGACCACTTCATACCAAATGTCATGCTACCGTTAAAAAGTTGGTTAGGGTGCAAACGAGCCAAACTATTCGTAAGCTATCTGGGATCGGTTTGTTAAAAGCTCCACTTGAAACCGATTTTAAATGAGTCTGAGCCAAGCTTAAGCTTAATATTAAGCTCGTTTATTAAACGAGCTCGAGCATATGTCATTAAGTTTGATTAAGCTCACGAGCTTATATATAATATAATTTATTATTATTTTTATGTATTAAAATAAAAACATATTTGGAGAATTATGATTTTAGGGTATTAGTAAACGAGCTTCTTACCAAGCTCGAACCGAGTCTAAGCTTATTTAGGCGTGTTAGACAAAAACGAGCCAATCTTGAACCCGAGTCAAGCTTGTATAATTCTTTGAGCTTGAGTCAAGCTCAATGCAATGAAGCTCAACCTTGAGCAACGTATAACTTAAACAAGCTTGAGTTGAGTCTGACCAGGCTCAGGCTCGGGCTCAGCTTGGCTTTTTTGCACCCGTCTGCTTATGATTACTTGAGAGTTAAGCACTCCAAAAAAGAGTTGTCACAAATCTGAAACACATCATCTTCAACTTCAGGTAACATGCCGTTTAAAAAGAACATGACAAAGTTTTGACTCCACTAATTAGATTAGAGAAAACGGTAGCACTCCTAACACATGCTAAGCACATTGCCGCATCACATTTTTACCTTCCACCTAAGCTTTTATCTTAATCAAAATACACTTGGATTTAGGGAAAAAAAAACCGATCAAAAGACCTAAATTTAAAATAAAATAAAATAAATAACAATTAGAAGCTATATTCTCTCATTCTCTCTCCTCTTTCTTCTCGTTGTGGGTGTAACAACCCATCGTTGGTGAGTCTCCTAGCGAGACTTAGGATAGGGATGACGATATCATTTTAAGTAACCAAAAATCTTGTACTATTTCAATGAGGGTAATATGCATTGTTACCTGAAGCAATATTTTCAATTTTTATTGGTTTATTAGCAAACTTAACCAATTCAATCTTCTATTAAAAAATATTTTTTTTGTATTACTAACAAGTAGAAAAATGTTTTCAATGGAGACCGATTTTGAAGCAAAATATGTACTAGGATTGGAAGATTTTACCCCCGATCCTATTTAATCCCATTAGTTTTTATTTTGTAGCCATAATTCAGTTTTCTAAATCCTAGGAAATCCATGAAGTATGTTCACAAACCTGGGGCAGAGCCTAACAAAATTGCCTATTTAAAGCTTGGAAATTTTTTGTCAATTCAGGTCAAAACCGAGCATTGCAAATTGATGAAGCCTTGTAAAATAGGTCGGTCCCTTTGGTCTAGATTTTTAGTATATTTATAAGACATTGATTTGAAATGTTTATGAAGTTGATAGAACATTCATTTCATTACTAGTCACGTACTCACGTTTTAGATCTACAAATCATTCAGCATGACTGTTACACAATCTATGCTAACTATTTGCAAAGTTTTTCGTTTATTTTTTCTTCAAAAAGTGGAAAAGTAAAGGTGGACCGATGGGACGTGTTAGGGACAGCATAAAGAAATCATGTATAAAACGAGTCTCTCATAAAACATTAAAAAAATATGAACACAAGGCAACTTATGAGTTATGTTACAAGTTAAACAAATACAGAATACAACACCATTCAACCTCATCTTTTCCTGAATCCTGAATGTAGAAACACCCACCCACCCACGGAGACCAAGAAAGGGATAGCAAAACTGTCTCGTATGAACAAAGGTATATATGTAATTTTGTCCAATAAATAGTCTAAATATATGCAAGGGAGTTCCTGTCATGATTAGGCTGGGGGCGGCCCCTGGTAGGAGTTGGTGGTCTTTGATTATTAAGCTCCTACAATTACAATTACAAATCAAGGATAAGTAAAAAAGGAAACAAGTTTAGTTTAGAATTTAGATTAGTTACCTGCATCCAGGTGTCGTCTTGGACATGTTCTGGAGAGTTTTCTGGCGAGTGAAGGGGAGGTGGCAACGGATGAATCAGTTTTGGAACAATCACCAGTCCTCTTCCAACCACTAGTAAAGCTCCAGCATTGTTTGCAGTTCCTGATAATACAGTCATTTAGACTGAGATTGTATACTATAGTGAATAATAATAAAAAAAAAAAAAAAAAAGACTAAAGAGGTATTTCACCACAATAGTTGGTTGCAGAGAAAAGGGTAATCAACTGGCCCTGAGCAAATCTTTCAAACCCATCCATCACGCATTCATGTGCTCTTATAATCAGCTGAAGTTTGTTTCTCTTACAAAAGTCTGTAACCCTATCAGGCTGCAACCAAAACCAGTCACCTCAATACTTGATTATTATAAAATATTTATAAAAAAAAAAAAAAAAAATATGAATACCCCAAAAGTAACCAAGCCAGGTCCCCGAGCATTTGGCCTTAAACCTTCCACACTATCATTCTCCGTAGGATCAGACCTGCACAAATTTTTTTTTTTTAAAGAAAAATAATAATAATAAATCCGATTCTTTGGAAGTAAACGAATGGAATTCAGGGAACTTGCCACAAAAGATCCATTAAGATAAGAGATCCAGCATCCATAGTTATTGGTCTTTCTATTTTCTCAATCTGTTCAACCAAATGTATGGACCTCCCTATCCCACCATGCATGCAGATTATCTTCTTCTCAATCAATGCCGCCAGCGGAAGATGGTTAAATACCTGATTGAATCGCGTCCATGCCCATATCCCATCGTTCTCCCCCTATACACCATACATACATCATACATCATTCCATTCACATATCAAAAAAAAAAAAAAAACAAATATCAACTCATTACCATTCTTTCTATGCATTCAAGACGAAACCCAAACAGCGCGTTTATATCCGCAGCCTCATGGTTCCCACGTATCAAATGGACGTTCTCAGGATACTGAATCTGAATAAATAGATAAATAAATCATCATATTTTGGTTGTAGCAACCAACTTGTAAAGCATATACCTACCTTTAAGGCAAGAAGCAATGTGATAGTCTCCAAGCTATGTTGACCTCGGTCAACATAATCGCCAAGGAATAAATAGTCAATATATCTGAAGTGAAAGGGTCAACACAATCTGAATTCAGTAAATGCTACAAGATTTTGAAAGAAAATATTTAGATTTAGAAAGTAAAGGCAAAGGAAGCATATATATATATGTAATACGTACGTTATGTCTCCAGCGGTAGAAGGAAATCCGTATTCATCAAAGAGGCGCATGAGATCACCAAACTGTCCGTGTAAATCACCAAACACTTTGATTGGAGCTTTCAACTGAAGAACCGTAGGCTCATGTAAAAAAATCTGTTCAGCAGCATAGCAAAGCTCTCCTACTTCATATGAATCAAGGAAAAACCTCCTGTTAACCGGAGGTTTCCAGTTTCGAGGCCTAAGCAGATTAGATATCACCTGCAATCAATGCAAACACATCATATCATAAGTTTTCCAAACTCAACTTTCTTTATTACCCATTCCATACATACTAGCAGCTAGCAGTTACACTTTCTTGTGAAAAGAAGTAGTTTGTAAACTTACTTTTTTGTGCAAGCCTTGAGGTGACTTTTGCCTAGTGAACTTTTTGGTTGGATAGGAAAGATCGTTTTGGGTAGGAATCATTCGTCTACTCTCGTTTTCAAATTGATCCAAGGATAATTGCCTCACCAATCCACCTAGATTTCCTACAGTCTCTTTAGCAACTACAACCTGCATCATATTAATAAAAAAAAAAAGACGCTTCTTCTTTATCATTAAAAAAGAACACCCATGTATTTAAATAAATAAAAAGAAGAGGAGGAAGACAATCACATACAGCTCTAGGGTGAAGCCTAACGTCTCCCTCGGTATCAGCAGGGTCTGGAGCATGTGAGTCGTCTGAAGGGGGTAAGTTGTTGTCTGGATTTGCAGCTTGTGATTGGGCGTGTGCCTGTGCAGCTTGCCAGACAGCATTCACAGCCTTGGCTTCCTGAGCAGAAGCCTCTGCCAGTCTCTCCATAGATTCTCTACTGAAAAACATAAATAAATAAACACCAAAATGTATCTTATAAAAATAATAAACATATTTAGCTTCCAACATGAATTCCAAATCAAATAGTCAAAAATAATACTTCACATTACTCAAAGGGTTTCATTCCATCATGCACAGCCACATGGAATGGAACTTCTGGTAACCATTTTATTTCTGTAACTTATAATCACAAAATCTTTATTAAAGCTTTCATGATTTTAACTAAATAACAATATTATTTTCTAAAATAAGCTACAAAATATACTTTTAATGAGATTCTATTATGAATCATTTATTATTTCTGTAAATAGAAATTCATTAGCTATAATAAAACAAATGCAATGAATCGAGTTAGAACCATACATTGTATTTCTATATAATATAAAAAAAAAACTCATTAAAGTCCTACTGACCAACCAAACACAGTCATGGAATGTAGTGATGTATTCGATCATTCCATTCCATCCAACCAAACAGATCCTAAATCT